CCCCGTCGTCCCCGTCGTCCCCGTCGTCCCCGTCGTCCCCGTCGTCCCCGTCGTCCCCGTCGTCCCCGTCGTCCCCGTCGTCCCCGTCGTCCCCGTCGTCCCCGTCGTCCCCGTCGTCCCCGTCGTCCCCGTCGTCCCCGTCGTCCCCGTCGTCCCCGTCGTCCCCGTCGTCCCCGTCGTCCCCGTCGTCCCCGTCGTCCCCGTCGTCCCCGTCGTCCCCGTCGTCCCCGTCGTCCCCGTCGTCCCCGTCGTCCCCGTCGTCCCCGTCGTCCCCGTCGTCCCCCGTCGTCCCCGTCGTCCCCGTCGTCCCCGTCGTCCCCGTCGTCCCCGTCGTCCCCGTCGTCCCCGTCGTCCCCGTCGTCCCCGTCGTCCCCGTCGTCCCCCGTCGTCCCCGTCGTCCCCGTCGTCCCCGTCGTTCCCCGTCGTCCCCGTCGTCCCCGTCGTCCCCGTCGTCCCCGTCGTCCCCGTCGTCCCCGTCGTCCCCGTCGTCCCCGTCGTCCCCGTCGTCCCCGTCGTCCCCCGTCGTCCCCGTCGTCCCCGTCGTCCCCGTCGTCCCCGTCGTCCCCGTCGTCCCCGTCGTCCCCGTCGTCCCCGTCGTCCCCGTCGTCCCCGTCGTCCCCGTCGTCCCGTCGTCCCCGTCGTCCCCGTCGTCCCCGTCGTCCCCGTCGTCCCCGTCGTCCCCCGTCGTCCCCGTCGTCCCCGTCGTCCCCTGTCGTCCCCGTCGTCCCCGGTCGTTCCCCGTCGTCCCCGTCGTCCCCGTCGTCCCCGTCGTCCCCGTCGTCCCCCGTCGTCCCCGTCGTCCCCCGTCGTCCCCGTCGTCCCCGTCGTCCCCCGTCGTCCCCGTCGTCCCCGTCGTCCCCGTCGTCCCCGTCGTCCCCCGTCGTCCCCGTCGTCCCCGTCTGTCCCCCGTCGTCCCCGTCGTCCCCCGCGTCCCCGTCGTCCCCCGTCGTCCCCGTCGTCCCCGTCGTCCCCGTCGTCCCCGTCGTCCACCGTCGTCCCCGTCGTCCCCGTCGTCCCCGTCGTCCCCGTCGTCCCCGTCGGTCCCCGTCGTCCCCGTCGTCCCCCCGTCGTCCCCGTCGTCCCCGTCGTCCCCGTCGTCCCCGTCGTCCCCGTCGTCCCCGTCGTCCCCGTCGTCCCCGTCGTCCCCGTCGTCCCCGTCGTCCCCGTCGTCCCCCGTCGTCCCCGTCGTCCCCGTCGTCCCCGTCGTCCCCGTCGTCCCCGTCGTCCCCGTCGTCCCCGTCGTCCCCGTCGTCCCCGGTCGTCCCCGTCGTCCCCGTCGTCCCCGTCGTCCCCGTCGTCCCCGTCGTCCCCGTCGTCCCCGTCTCCCCGTCGTCCCCGTCGTCCCCGTCGTCCCCGTCGTCCCCGTCGTCCCCGTCGTCCCCGTCGTCCCCGTCGTCCCCGTCGTCCCCGTCGTCCCGTCGTCCCCGTCGTCCCCGTGTCCCCGTCGTCCCCGTCGTCCCCGTCGTTCCCCGTCGTCCCCGTCGTCCCCGTCGTCCCCGTCGTCCCCGTCGTCCCCGGTCCCCGTCGTCCCCGTCGTCCCCGTCGCCCCGTCGTCCCCGTCGTCCCCGTCTTCCCCGTCGTCCCCGTCGTCCCCGTCGTCCCCGTCGTCCCCGTCGTCCCCGTCGTCCCCCGTCGTCCCCGTCGTCCCCGTCGTCCCCCGTCGTCCCCGTCGTCCCCGTCGTCCCCGTCGTCCCCGTCGTCCCCGTCGTCCCCGTCGTCCCCGTCGTCCCCGTCGTCCCCGTCGTCCCCGTCGTCCCCGTCGTCCCCGTCGTCCCCGTCGTCCCCGTCGTCCCCGTCGTCCCCCGTCGTCCCCGTCGTCCCCGTCGTCCCCGTCGTCCCCGTCGTCCCCGTCGTCCCCGTCGTCCCCGTCGTCCCGTCGTCCCCGTCGTCCCCGTCGTCCCCGTCGTCCCCGTCGTCCCCGTCGTCCCCGTCGTCCCCGTCGTCCCCGTCGTCCCCGTCGTCCCCGTCGTCCCCGTCGTCCCCGTCGTCCCCCGTCGTCCCCGTCGTCCCCGTCGTCCCCGTCGTCCCCGTCGTCCCCGTCGTCCCCGTCGTCCCCGTCGTCCCCGTCGTCCCCGTCGTCCCCGTCGTCCCCGTCGTCCCCGTCGTCCCCGTCGTCCCCGTCGTCCCCGTCGTCCCCGTCGTCCCCCGTCGTCCCCGTCGTCCCCGTCGTCCCCGTCGTCCCCGTCGTCCCCGTCGTCCCCGTCGTCCCCGTCGTCCCCGTCGTCCCCGTCGTCCCCGTCGTCCCCCGTCGTCCCCGTCGTCCCGTCGTCCCCGTCGTCCCCGTCGTCCCCGTCGTCCCCGTCGTCCCCGTCGTCCCCGTCCGTCCCCGTCGTCCCCGTCGTCCCCGTCGTCCCCGTCGTCCCCGTCGTCCCCGTCGTCCCCGTCGTCCCCGTCGTCCCCGTCGTCCCCGTCGTCCCCGTCGTCCCCGTCGTCCCCGTCGTCCCGCGTCCGTCCCCGTCGTCCCCGTCGTCCCCGTCGTCCCCGTCGTCCCCGTCGTCCCCGTCGTCCCCGTCGTCCCCCGTCGTCCCCGTCGTCCCCGTCGTCCCCGTCGTCCCCGTCGTCCCCGTCGTCTCCCGTCGTCCCCGTCGTCCCCGTCGTCCCCGTCGTCCGTCGTCCCCGTCGTCCCCGTCGTCCCCGTCGTCCCCGTCGTCCCGTCGTCCCCGTCGTCCCGTCGTCCCCGTCGTCCCCGTCGTCCCCGTCGTCCCCGTCGTCCCCGTCGTCCCCGTCGTCCCCGTCGTCCCCGTCGTCCCCGTCGTCCCCGTCGTCCCCGTCGTCCCCGTCGTCCCCGTCGTCCCCGTCGTCCCCCGTCGTCCCCGTCGTCCCCGTCGTCCCCGTCGTCCCCGTCGTCCCCGTCGGTCCCCGTCGTCCCCGTCGTCCCCGTCGTCCCCGTCGTCCCCCGTCGTCCCCGTCGTCCCCGTCGTCCCCGTCGTCCCCGTCGTCCCCGTCGTCCCCGTCGTCCCCGTCGTCCCCGTCGTCCCCGTGTCCCCGTCGTCCCCGTCGTCCCCGTCGTCCCCGTCGTCCCGTCGTCCCCGTCGTCCCCGTCGTCCCCCGTCGTCCCCGTCGTCCCCGTCGTCCCCGTCGTCCCCGTCGTCCCCGTCGTCCCCGTCGTCCCCGTCGTCCCCGTCGTCCCCGTCGTCCCCGTCGTCCCCGTCGTCCCCGTCGTCCCCGTCGTCCCCGTCGTCCCCGTCGTCCCCGTCGTCCCCGTCGTCCCCGTCGTCCCCGTCGTCCCCGTCGTCCCCCGTCGTCCCCGTCGTCCCCGTCGTCCCCGTCGTCCCCGTCGTCCCCGTCGTCCCCGTCGTCCCCGTCGTCCCCGTCGTCCCCGTCGTCCCCGTCGTCCCCGTCGTCCCCGTCGTCCCCGTCGTCCCCGTCGTCCCCGTCGTCCCCGTCGTCCCCGTCGTCCCCGTCGTCCCCGTCGTCCCCGTCGTCCCCGTCGTCCCCGTCGTCCCCGTCGTCCCCGTCGTCCCCGTCGTCCCCGTCGTCCCCGTCGTCCCCGTCGTCCCCGTCGTCCCCGTCGTCCCCGTCGTCCCCGTCGTCCCCGTCGTCCCCGTCGTCCCCGTCGTCCCCGTCGTCCCCGTCGTCCCCGTCGTCCCCGTCGTCCCCGTCGTCCCCGTCGTCCCCGTCGTCCCCGTCGTCCCCGTCGTCCCCGTCGTCCCCGTCGTCCCCGTCGTCCCCGTCGTCCCCGTCGTCCCCGTCGTCCCCGTCGTCCCCGTCGTCCCCGTCGTCCCCGTCGTCCCCGTCGTCCCCGTCGTCCCCGTCGTCCCCGTCGTCCCCGTCGTCCCCGTCGTCCCCGTCGTCCCCGTCGTCCCCGTCGTCCCCATCTCGTCCGCAATAACCACGCCCGTCGTCCCCTGCTCTTCCTCTCAGGCACGCTCATGACCACGGCCCAGTGCCTGCTGCACCACAGCCGCACGTTTTGAGGCAGATCAATAACCGTGAGGAGCCTCCATAACCGCTTCTTTTAGGCGCCGCAATAACCACGCCCGTCGTCCCCTGCTCTTCCTCTCAGGCACGCTCATGACCGCGGCCCAGTGCCTGCTGCACCACAGCCGCACGTTTTGAGGCAGATCAATAACCGTGAGGAGCCTCCATAACCGCTTCTTTTAGGCGCCGCAATAACCACGCCCGTCGTCCCCTGCTCTTCCTCTCAGGCACGCTCATGACCGCGGCCCAGTGCCTGCTGCACCACAGCCGCACGTTTTGAGGCAGATCAATAACCGTGAGGAGCCTCCATAACCGCTTCTTTTAGGCGCCGCAATAACCACGCCCGTCGTCCCCTGCTCTTCCTCTCAGGCACGCTCATGACCGCGGCCCAGTGCCTGCTGCACCACAGCCGCACGTTTTGAGGCAGATCAATAACCGTGAGGAGCCTCCATAACCGCTTCTTTTAGGCGCCGCAATAACCACGCCCGTCGTCCCCTGCTCTTCCTCTCAGGCACGCTCATGACCACGTCCCAGTGCCTGCTGCACCACAGCCGCACGTTTTGAGGCAGATCAATAACCGTGAGGAGCCTCCATAACCGCTTCTTTTAGGCGCCGCAATAACCACGCCCGTCGTCCCCTGCTCTTCCTCTCAGGCACGCTCATGACCACGGCCCAGTGCCTGCTGCACCACAGCCGCACGTTTTGAGGCAGATCAATAACCGTGAGGAGCCTCCATAACCGCTTCTTTTAGGCGCCGCAATAACCACGCCCGTCGTCCCCTGCTCTTCCTCTCAGGCACGCTCATGACCACGGCCCAGTGCCTGCTGCACCACAGCCGCACGTTTTGAGGCAGATCAATAACCGTGAGGAGCCTCCATAACCGCTTCTTTTAGGCGCCGCAATAACCACGCCCGTCGTCCCCTGCTCTTCCTCTCAGGCACGCTCATGACCACGGCCCAGTGCCTGCTGCACCACAGCCGCACGTTTTGAGGCAGATCAATAACCGTGAGGAGCCTCCATAACCGCTTCTTTTAGGCGCCGCAATAACCACGCCCGTCGTCCCCTGCTCTTCCTCTCAGGCACGCTCATGACCACGGCCCAGTGCCTGCTGCACCACAGCCGCAACCCCGCTCTCTCGCGAGCAGCCATTGAGGACCACCTCTGCGCTCTCCTTGGAGTCTCCACCGTCATCTGGCTCCCCCGGGGCCTGCAAGGTGCCCCTTCCTCCCACGCACCTTTCGACGGCCCTCAGAGTGGGTTCATGTGCTGCGGGCTCTTGTAGACACGATTGAACGGGGACCTGCAAATGCTCTCCTGGGGGTCTCCACCGTCATCTGCCTCCCCCGGGGCCTGCAAGGTGCCCCTTCCTTCCACGTGCCTTTTGCCGGCCCACAAGAGTGATTTCATTTCATGCATCTGTTGCGGGTTCCTGCAAGTGCGCTCCCTGGGCCTGGGGTCTCCACTGTCATACCCCCCCCCCCCCCCCCCAGGCCTACGAGGTGTGTCTCTCACGCTCCCATCTGTTCCACACACTGCAACTGATGCAGCCAAAATTTCTAAACAGTGGCTTTGCTGTTGCGTGCGCACGTGCTGTTCCCTCCAAGTGCTCTTCACCCATCGTGCATCTCCCTCACTCACTCCATCCCTGCACGCTCGCTCGCTTTCATCACATGCCACTGTGGGTGGCAGGAGACGAGGACACGGACGGGCATGTGGATAACCTGGCATGCTTCGTGGCTCCTGCTCACGTGCTGCTCGCGTGGACTGACGACCCCTCCCACCCGCAGGTGCTCGCTCGCACTGCCTGCTCGTTTGTTCCCTCTGCCCAGTGGTCCCGCTACCGAAAACCGTGTTCTTGCTTCTCCCGTACCACATCTCTGCACCTTCCATTCCAAACCCGTCCTTCCTCTTTCTATCCCGCTCGCACTCCTCTTCACTCTCTCTTCACTTGACCCTCACTTCCCCTACCACATCTCCCTCCTCCTTCTGCTCCTCCTCCTCCTCCTCCTCCTCCACCACCTCCTACTCCCCTTCCTCTGTCAGTGCAATCTGCATTCCATCCGCCCTGCACTCCCTTCCACCAAAATCGCCCAAAATGCAACAACAATGGCAACGGCAATGGCAACAACAATGGCAATGGGAACCGGCAATGGCAACGGCAACGGCAGTACCCAGTGTGTCAAGCAGCGCATGAGGTGCTGTGCTCGGCCCGGGACGCCAAGAATCGGCCTCTGCGCATCACACACCTGCCGCTGCCACCTGCGCTCTACTACTCACACCAAGACGTGCAAGGGCTTGCACAGGTACCAGTACCTGCTGCCTTTGCTGCTCTGCTCTGCCTTGCCTTTGCTGCTCTGCTCTGCCTTTGCTGACGTGTGCTTCTGTATGCTGCTTGTGTGCCAGCTCTGTTTGGTTTGAGTTGGTCAAATATGTGCGCACAATTGCTGCTCCCTCTTGCCACTCCCTCCCTCCCTCCCTCCTTTTTACACCACCCAACTCCACTCTCTCCCACCTTTTTACACCACCCAACTCCACTCTCTCCCACCTTTTTACACCACCCAACTCCACTCTCTCCCACCTTTTTACACCACCCAACTCCACTCTCTCCCACCTTTTGGCACCCCTCTCTTCGTGCTGCTGTTTCCAGAAACTGTCTTTCGATCCCTCCTCCTCCTTCTCTGCCTCCCCATGCTCTCCCTCGTTCGCCCCTGCGTCACTATCTCTCATGAAACTGCCCTACTGCCCTCCTCCTGTCCACCTCTCTCCCTTTGCCGGCGCTGCCCTGCTCTGCCCTCTGCTCTGCCCTCTGCCCTGCGCTACCCTACCTTGTTCACTGCCCACTGCTGTGCCGCACCCCTGCTTGAAGGAGGGGGCCCATGCACAGCGCCAGGCAGGAGACCTGATGGCAGCCTCCTACATCAACTTCTACCTCCCAAATGGTCAGCCCACCGCTCTGCATCATGCTCGCTCGCTTTCTTGGCCACCTGCGTCCCCTTCTCGTGGCTGCTCCTTTCGTGCCTTCACTCCCGATTGTTGCAGTCCCCCCCCGTCTTTCAAGGTCCTTGTTTTGTTTTGTTCTGTTTTCCATGGCCTTTGAGTGTATTGCTGCAGGTGTGGTTGTGGCGCCTGCATTTGGCATCCCATCCAGTGACCAGCGTGCATTTGAAGTGCTGCAAAAGGTTTTTCCACACCGTGAGGTGCGTGTGCGAAGTCCCCCCTGCTGCCCGCTATTCAGTTTGCATGGATGTCACCAGTGCAAGTACGTACCGTATTATGAGGTTTTGTTTTTTTTTAAGGCGAACAACCCTGTCTTTATTCCAGGTGATTATGATGCCAGAAGGTCGGGAGGTTCTTCTCGGTGGAGGAAATATCCATTGCATCACACAGCAACAGCCTGCATTAGATTTTCGGCTGCCTATGACTGAATAAGAATATGTGATCATCTCAGTGATGTATAAATTCACCTAGATCTTGATGGTCTTATTGTCCTGGTTGCCGAGCCCACGAGCAATAGTGGTACCTACGTGGGCATGGTGATACCTACGCATCAGTTAGAATCGCGTAGAGAATACCCGCTTGGTTGGGCGCACCGATTGAGGGCTGTGGAGACTGGGATTGGTTCAGCGTATATGTCCCCATCTAAATCTGTAGATTGCTGCATGCTGGCAGCGCGCGCAAGGGAGCCCCCTTCGCGGAGTTCCGAATGGTGATTGGGTTCGATACGAGAGATCCGGGGGAAGCGGGGAATGCGGCCAACAGTAAATGCCCCAGTGTCTGGCGGGGTTTTGGGGGAAGCGGAGAAAGGAGGAAGGATGTGCGCGGAATGTCTGGTTTTGGTGGGGATGGAACCGAGGAAGGGGGTGGAATTGAGAGGAACCAAGGGTTTTTGCTCCCCTTTCTCCTTCAGTTTTCTTTCTCTCGCTGCCTCTTTGGTAGCACCAGCTTTCTCTCTCTTCCCTTTCCAGTCACCAGAGAGAATTCTCTTGTTCTCTCACGTGGCCGTACCTAGTCGATTAGTCTATCCCTAGCGCTGGCACCTAGGCCGTGTTTTTAAATCTTAGAGCCCCTACACACTGCGGCCGTGCATGGCTCGCGTGCACTAACTGGTCTGTGTCTCGCGCCACCGCCGTTCTGTGAGCGTCCGGGAAGGTAGAGCAGGAGTGCAATGGCGACGCAAAACCCCTTCGCGCTGCTCGATGGTGACGACAACGACGACCCCCAGGCCCTGCTGTCCCGCGTCGCGGCCGAACCTGTGAAGGTCGACGCGAGCAAGAAGGCTGCCGCTAAAAGCGCCAAGCCCGCCCCTGCTGCTGGTAACTCGGACTTCGAAACCTGGCCCTCGTGTCTTTGGTTTCCTTCCCTTTTTACTTCAGATCTATTTTCCCTCGTTTCCTTGGTTCCTTCCAGTTTTGGTTGTCCCGATGAGCCGTTGGTTGTCGATATGGATCATTCTCATGCCCGTCTTGATCATTCTTTTATCCCGTCTTTTATGTTTGACCCGACTTTTCTCGCCGTTCTCTTCGTGTGTGTCTGCATGCTTCCTAGGTTTGCTATTATCCTTCCTTACCGTTCTGTAGCCCGCATCGCGCGTTAGTATCAACTTTCCTAGGTTAGGTTTATCCCGCTTTCAGCTTTCTTAGAGCTGCTGCTAGACTCACTTCGCAAGGATTTTCGTCTGGTTGGCTCAATGCCTGCTCCTTCTTGCCCTCCCTCCCGATGCTCCCGCTATTATATCTTAGCCAAGCCTGCTGCTGCTACCACTGCACCTGCTCGCTCCAGCTACAACCGCGGAGGTCGCGGCGGCGGTCGCGGCGGATACGGCGGACGCGGTGGCGACTACCAGACGTTCAACGAGTCGCGCGACGATGGCCGCGCGTTCATCGCGGAGCGCCAGGTGCGCGGGGAGGACGGCGAGATCCGCTCGTCGTTCGACCAGCACCACCACGGCGACTTGCGGAGAGGCGGCGGAAGGGGGGGAGGGCGCGGCCGCGGCTATGGGCGCGACGGGGGCCAGCGCCGCCCGCACCGCGAGTTCGACCGCATGAGCGGCACCGGCCGTGGCGGGTACGTGAGGTGGTGGCAGCAAGGGGGTTTGGACTGGGTTGGAGGGGAGTGAGTGGGGAGCGGGCGGGGTTGTTACCCCTTGTTTATTCGGATGTCAATGCTCCTGAAACCGCGCCGCCTATTTTATGGACATTCCTATATCGCGCCACCCGCCCCACCACTTCCCGTCTTGCAAACGGCGAAGCTGTTTCGCCCCGTTGCTGGCCATTTCGCGCCGTCGCTCAGTGCCCCTCCGCTGTCTCTCTCCGCCCCATGTTGCGCGCAGGGAGATCAAGCGCGAGGGGGCTGGCCGTGGCAACTGGGGCAGGGAGGGCGAATACCTTGAGTAATCCACCTCTTCCTTCGACCTTCTTTCCGCTCGCAGTTTTTGTTTTTTGTTTTTTTGCGCTGTGCCCCTCGCTGTCGTTCTGAGCTCTCTTTCTCCCGACCCCTCACCCTATCGTTGCCTCGTTCTTGTCGCCGCGTTTGCGGTTCTACCCCCACTCGCCCTCTTTCACTCTCCCCGCTCGTTCTCCTCGCACGCGTCTTGTCGTTGTTCGGGTTCGTAGCGATGTTGCACACTGTATTCTCAATCTCCCCACACTGTGCTCGTGCGCCCTCCCCATTCCCCCTTCCAGCGAGACTGTCGCGCCCGCATCGGGGGAGGCGGAGGCGAAGGTTGAGGGCGCAGAGTCGGCGGAGCCGGCGGCGGAGGTCGCAGCTCCGGAGCCCCCTGTGCTGAGCGAGGAGGAGCTCGCAGCCCAGGAAGCTGCGCGCAAGGAGAAGGAAGAGGAGGAGAAGGTACACTGCCAACCTGTTTCTTACCTCCATTGGATCTCCACTGTCAGAGCCATTGTTCCGCATGCTTGAATCCAGCTTTCCGCCACCCCATCCTACCGCCCCCTCTTCACCCCGTCTTCCGTCCATCTCCCCTGACCCCGCCCCCTTTCCCATCTCCGCCCCCGCCCCCTTTCCCATCTCCGTCCCCGTCCCCTTTCCCATCTCCGTCCCCGCCCCGCCGTGCCCGTGCGCGCAGCAAATGACGCTGGAGGAGTACGAGAAGGTGCTGGAGGAGAAGCGCAAGGCGCTGGCCGCCAGCAAGGCGGCGGCGCGCGTGGTGGAGGTGGACGAGGAGATGGCCAAGATGACGCTCAAGAAGAAGCCCGAGGGCGACGACGTCTTCGTCAAGCTGGTCCGTGCCCTCTCTGCCCTCTCTGTCGTATCTGCCTTCCCTGCGCCTGCTGCTCCCCATTTTGTCTCTGCTCCCCATGCCTTCTCTGCTGCCCATGCTGTCTCCTGTGGCCTGGATTAGCTTGGGTAGCCCGGGCAGCTTGGTACAGCCCATGGTCTCCTGTGCCGTGAATTGAGTGCGGTCCTTTGGTCTTCTTCCGTTTTCTCACCTTGTCCCAATTCGTCCTCCTTTCCCCGTTCCGTGCGTCGTGCATGGGTGTGTGCATGTGTGTGTTTCGGTGCGGCCCGGTACGTGGCGGTTGCATTTCGTTGGTGGGTATTTTTGGCAGGGAGAGGATAAGGAGAAGGCGGCGAGGAAAAAGGACGAGGACCGTCCCAAGACGGTCAACATTAACGAGTTCCTCAAGCCGGCAGAGGGTCAGACCTTCCATTACCGCAACACTCGCGGCGGTCGCGGTGGCGGCCGCGGCGGCGGCGGCGGCCGCGGCGGCGGCGGCGGCCGCTACGGTGGCGGCGGTCGTGGCTATGGGGGGCGGGCGGCGGATGCCCCTCCCCTGGACCAGTCCCAGTTCCCCACGCTGGCCTAGATGTGGAGTGCGGGGGAGTGGGAAGAGGGAGTGATGGAGTTTCACGTGTGGAGAGACTCTGCTCTGGGCGGCGGGCTGGCTAGCCGGCTGGCTATAGTACAATCCTTTGCTGATTGTCGTTCAGTAGATTGGGGAAGAGGAGGGGAGGAGTTCTATGTGCATTGCCACATTCTGTATTAGCACATCTGTTCACTGCATTGCTGAGGAGCGCTAGGCGTAGTGTAGCTTGTTGGCTGGCACTGCTGCAGTGGCTCTAGTGGCGATTGGAGGAAAGTTATCGTGGCACTGGTGTGGATGGATTTGGTTGGGTAACTTTTGTGCTTGAGTGCTTTGCTTTTTTTAGACAAGTGAATGGCTTGGAAGTCTGCATTGTTCACATGTGATGCGAACAATAATGTTTGCAATGAAAGTATGTACTCCATGGAATTGAAGCTCCTGTCTAATAGTTTCATGTAGTAACGCTTTTTCCTCGACCCTCGTAACAACACTCACTCAGATCATTTCCTGTAACGAGTATGGATATCATTTCCATGCCACCCCAAATCCTGCCCC